AATAAACTTGACTATTTCTTCTTTATGGGAGATTATAAAAATATTAAAGGCATTTCTTGACGCGTAATGATGTTTTTAATGTTAGTAAAACTTTAAAAATCAATTTTAATATTACAGTATTATATACCGTCGTTATTCTATGATCATCTCACAATTTTGATTGGTCGATCGGCCAATAAAATCACGAGATGATCAACAAAATCTAACCAATCACAATAAAAGTTCGCTATGCTATTCTGTATTGGAATTGTCCAACATTTTCTAAATTAAGCTTATATTCATCCGTTCCTGGTTTAGCACGACAATGTCGCGCAGCTACTTATTATAGTTTTAACTACTAAACCGTAGTTTGAGTAGTTGATCTATAATATGTATACGGATAATACAGATTTCAAACAGTTATCCGGATTGACGATCAACGGATCACATCAGTTATCGGGAAAATGGCTATGGCGAGAAAATATTTGTCGGGAAAATAATTGTCGAGGAAGTGTTTGTAGTTTAAATGTCGGTAAACCCACTCTACTTTCGTAATAAAGATTGGTTTCCCTTGGCAACACGAATTTTTTGAAATTTGGGTAAGTTTTAAATTTTGACTAGTTTCGGAGGTTTCATTAAACAGAATAAATACCTTATTTGGATTTGAAAAAAGAGTCTAGAAGCTAGTCGAAAATCATAGACCCATTTAATTTATATTTAAATTAAAAAAAAAACATTTTTTTTTTTAAAAAAACTCTGATTATCTTTATTACGATAAAATTCTTGCTATAATTATGAAGGTTTTGTTGTGATTTTCGCGGCCTTATTGCTTTCTGAGAAAGGTGCTTTCTGAGAAAGGTGATTAATCCCTTAATAAAGCATAATTAAATTTAAATTATGCTTCATTTTAACAATTAATTTGATTATATTCGTTACAGTGAGTTGTCAAAATCTTCTGGCTGGCAGTAATTGCACTAGCAATAATCCTCCTCAATGCCTTTCTAACCACTGTGAATCTGGATTTTGCGCCCTCGGCATACCTGGAGATCCCTGCCACAATTTGTCTGATTGTATCAGTGAATGCGTAGCTTGCACTGGTACTGGCAATACTAAGACATGTCATTCGCCAAGTCCAACAATTCCCTAATAGACATTCAATGAAATGCAAATACTATGCTGTATTATCATAGTTTATTTTTTGTTAAACTGTGACTAGGGCTTATCACATATTAAAGCTGATTGGGCACTTTGTGCCTTATGCAATAAGCCATTTAATAATACCATTTTTTAATAAAAAATCTATTTTATATTATTATCAGGAAATTGAATGAAGTAGGTATATATGACATTCTTCAGTAATAAAACACTGTGAGCTAAGTTTATTGCTTTAAAACTAAATACAGAATTTTTATAGAAATTATTCTATTAGCATAAATAAATAATATAAATAAGGTTAAAAATGTACTGCTGAGGGAATTTTTTATGTAATTGCATCGATTAGTGAGAAATGACTAAAGGTGTTCTCAAGCACCTCAATCAAGTGATCGGAAGCAAAATTTTAATTAGTCGGAAATTAAATAAATGAATCAAATGAGTTACCATTCCGATGACAAAATCAGGGAGACACAAACCACCTTTTTTCTTCAAAAATTTACCATTGATATAGGTTGCTCAAACACTACTTTTACATTTTTTGCATATCGAACATAATAAACAATGAATTCTCAACAAATTTCTCACCGGTCAAAAAGATAGCCACTTTTTTTTAATGCTCGAAGCTTTTAAAACAAATAATCGACACATAATATGAATGTACTAAATACAACAATCTTTTAACGTTTAACCAAACTATAATTAATACTAATATTCCACTATTCACTCATTTAAATTTAATATCTTCTCAGTAGTGAAGACCTAAAACTGAAAAGTTCGGGTAGATTTTTTTCCATTTTAAAGAATTTTAAATTGTTAAAATCTTTAAAAGGAGCCGACGTAGCTAAGGTTGAAACTCGAACGGTTGATCGAAAAGAAATTTTTTCATTAGGTTTTTTAGGTAGTATAGCGAAAATTACGAAAAACAGAAAAAGTATGCTCAAGCATTTAATTCTATAAATATCGTCATCAATTGTGATGCTTGAGCGTCATCACGGTTATTATCTGATCAATTGATTTAGATGCTTGAGAACAGCTTAAGTTGCGAATATAATGTCAAATTATCAAGAAGTTTAAATTATTATTTTTTTTTTTACATATTACGTGTATATCGATTAATAGTTTGTCTATCTTAAATAAAGTATTTAGAGTATAAAAGGATCATAAATTCAATTAATTAATAATCAATTTTATTAGTAGGTTCCTTTTATACTAAACTTGATCCGTATAAAATTATATAACATACAATTATGATTATATTTAGGCATTTGTTTTTAATATATTTGATTGTGTTTTTGCTTTCATAAGATATGTAGTATGGGTAAATGATTATTTAAAGTATATTTACTATAAATATTAGTTTATAGTATTTATTTTTATTTTATTTTTATTTTCTTTTGGTAGAGTTTTTGCTGGTATGGTTAATTGATAACCACTAATTATTAAAGATTATTATTATTGCTTGATTAGACTAAGAAAAAACATGTGATTTTCATTTGATACTAGTATAATAGATGCCACCATCCTGTTACAGGATTCATTATTTGACTATAGTGCTGAATAAGTTTGTATTAGAATTGTGTTTTTACCAAGTTACTGTAAAAAAATTCCATCACAGCTTTTACTTACCTATCTGTTGACTACAATACATAGTTGAGTTGGGTTTGTATTAAATTATTATAAAATAAACTTGTTACAAAATATTTGCTATCACAGTAATATATAGTACATGTTAAGTTTGGGATAGTTTGGATTATAATTTCTATTATAAGCTATATAAAAATGCTACTACAAAATGTTTTTGTTATTCTAGTATTATATAATGCAGAATTAAGTTATTTTGTATTAGAATTATTATAATTTTTATTTGTATTGCTATAAAATTTTTGTAATTGTTAAAATTGAAGTTAGTTTGTATTAAAAATATTATAATTATTATTATAAATTATATAAAAAATTCAAGCTATTAATATGTAGAATAAGTTATTTTAAAAATTGTTTTAAAATTTGCCATTTTATTGAATCAATAGATAGTTAAGTTAGTTTGTATCAAATTATTATCATAAGTTGCTATAAAAATTTTGTCAAAAATTTAATATTTTAGTAATTACAGTATGTAGTTAAAATTAAGATAGTTTTATAAGAATTATTGTAAAAAATTATATTATAATAATTGTCCGGAGCGAAGCGGAGGACACTCTGTTTTTACGATAGACTGTGATCATCGAGATCACGTGGAGTTGTCTTTCCGTCCGCTTTTATGAATGCTAATTGGCCGAATATTTTCCGGACTTTTACTGGTTTCCAGTTCCTAGTCATATAGGCAGATTGTACTTATTTAGTAGACAGTTTAATTGTAATCATATATTGGTATTTAGTTAATTTTAATCTAATTAATTAAAATAAGAACTGCTTGTGATATGCTAATATGAAACACAACAAAACACATACTGTCAAAAATGAACTTGACTATATTTTAAACAGGAACTTATATATATTGATTGATGCAATATTGTATGTTAAAGTATATAAAAAGATCTAAAGTAGTCTGGGCCTTTAATAGATAAACAAAATTGTAGTTGGGATAAATTAAATATAAAATATTTAATATTTTAAAAGCATATACAGTAAAGCCTTTATAAATGCATACTCTTGGAACCAGGTATGTATGTGCACTTAGAGAGAGTGTGTATAGGGATAAAAAAAAAACATTTTAAACAGTTTTTTAGATATTTTAAAACTTTTTTAAAACAATTGGCACTGAGACTAAAAATTAAAGTTTAGGGCTAAAATGCTAATTTACCAAATTTTATAGAGATAACTTTTTTAAAAAAAAATTTTAGTTTATAAACTTTTGTTATTATATAATTAATTACAAGAAATGTACAACCCATTCAAAACTAATATAATATTTGTTGCCTCTTCTAAAATTCTAGCTAAATTTTATTAACTAGCATCATATTTAGAATCTAGCAAATTGCTAGCCAAATTGTGTTAATTAGGACTAATATAAAATGTGGTTGTATTACTTTTAATATAAAGATGCACAGTATCTATAAATTCTTCCCAAAAGGAGGTTTCAATAGCTGTAAAAGGAATACTGGCTAAATAGAAAAATCTTGCCAATTTATGATCTACATCTAATTTGGTTATTGTTATCTCATCTTTATTTGAACTAGTGGCTTGAATATCAACATTATTTAATAAATTTTTCATATTTGTTGAAAACTTTTTGTATCTATATAAGTGATCCTTTAATTAAGCAACTAAATCTACAAAGTTCTCTTCATAGTAGTTACACTTTTGGCAAGGCATAGTTTGACCAAATTTGTCAGTTTTCATAACTTTTGTAAAGTTCAAGCGAATTTCTTTTAATAAAGATCTTCTATGATGCATGGTTGTCTATAGTGTTACAAATTGACAAAAATTTTCTAATAAATTAGTTGACAACCTATTTTATCCAACTAATCAATTAATCGATTTTATTTCAACTAATCAATTAGTTGACCAATTGATTAGTCGATTAATTAACTAATTAATTAGTTAATTAATCGATTAGTTGACCAATTGATTAGTCAATTAATCAACTAATCAATTAATTAACTAATTGACTTTGTGTATCCAAAGTATATGCCAGAATAATAATTTTTTGCTATTAGAAAAGATTTGTAAATAAATATATATTATTTATATATATATATAATGATAATAATATTATAATCCAAAAAAAAATCAATCAACTCTTTCCATCGATCACCCGAACCAAATTTTATGCTAACAAAAAAAACTAAAAGAAAATCTGTTAGAGAGTTGAGTAGACTATAGTAGCAGTTTGAAGGTCAAATATAGGTCAACTTTGCTTTGGGAAACTCCTTGTCTCATTCAGCATACAAGCCAAAAGCCTTGTTAAGAGGAAAATGCAGGTGGTGCTCTTGGCTAGTAAAAATTTTGGTGGACAACAAAAGCTCCGTCAACAAAGCTACATAGACTACAGCTCTAAGAGAACTTTAGTAGTGGTTTTTAAAAAAGATCAACTAAGTTACTATGGGGACTCCTCTTTATATTTGGCATGCAAGCCAGAAGCAAATATACAAAGGAGGAAAGGCAGGTGGCACTCTCTTTGTGTGTAAATTTTGGTAGACCAAGAGAAAGTGTCTGTTGACAAAACTACAAAGTTCATTCTTGGAGTCCAGGGTACAACAGATTCTTTACTTTTTTTTTCAACACACTCTCTCAAAATTTGGCTTTTCTGCACCTATCTCCTACTTGTCATTTTTTTTACGAACTTTTTTGAAAAAACTGGAGATTTGGCTACCCCCTCCAAACGATCGACATTGTTTACCACTTCCATTTTTAGAAGTTGTCATTGCAATATGGCGAATTAGAAAAACAACAAACACGTGCAGAGCATGTGGTGATTTCTATTATTGGATTTAATATGTGAAAGAGTTTTTAGTCCTTTTTTTAATATACTTTCATTAGTATCATGTGAGATATACATTATTCCGAAGTCACATGTATAATATTTTTTTAACCTGGCACAGGTTATAATAGTGCTTTTGCTATTTTTGTTTGTTTTTTTTTTTTTTGTCTTTTTTTTTTTTCTTTCTTTATAGAGTTTTTATGTGGTTTTTTTTGTGGTATTCACTGTGGTATTTCCTCTTTTTGGTTTTAAACTTCTCTTTTTTTTTTTCTTTGATCTTGAAGCTTTTTCGTTAAGTAGTTAAAAGTTTTTCTTTCTACTTGGGAAGTTAGGAAGAGAAGATTTAGGGTTTAAAAGGAGGAGGCAATCTTGATAGCTGTAAATACTGCTCAGTGATATATTAGATTTCTTCACTAGCAGAAGGGTTTAGTATTGAGAGGAAATTTTTACTATAGCAGATCACACATGGGTAATTTGGACTTTTGTTGCATAAGACTTTTATCACAAAGAGCCGGATGAGTCAATACTTATAAATTAGGAGTAACATGTTAGCCCAGTGTTAAAGTTAGCTC